ACATTACAATTCCTGGAGTTTCAGACACCGTGAAGCTCAAGCCTGTCACCTTTGGAGAAGCAGTCGAGCACTGTGTGGACAAATTTGCTCTGAGGGGGTGTTGGATGCTGAAGGCTGGCCGCACTATATCGAGGAACCGTGTTTGCTCAGTACGTTCATTCTAGAATGATAAATGTGGCGTTGTATTTACTGTACCCGTACAAAATATCACCTCTAATTTAACTTCCAGTACCTTACAGAACATCTGGATGAAGAGACTTGAAAAGGGGAAAGTTAAGTATGACTATGGAGCAGTATCTTTTGGACTGCTGATGGTGATTCTTTCCTCCACTGTGCTGGCTTTCCAGCTGGTGAAGGTGGGCAGAATTTCAGCAGCTGTTTCTTTGGTTTGAAATGCTTATTTCTGAAATAGGATCCAGTTATGAAATAAATCTCCATTTTGATGAGCCAGTTGCTTCACCTGCTGGAAAGTTTTTACCAGAGTTGTTGTCAGAGATTTGTTTTCTTCTTATTTTGTAGTGGAGACAGCAGATCAGCTCTGTCCCTGCCTGACTGCTCCCCTCCACAGCTGGCTTTAGAGCAGTCCTTTTTCTTGCAAACAACCGTTTCCTATTCTAAATCTTCCCTGTGATCTTGAGTGCTCTTTTTCTTTCTTGCCTGGACAGTTCTAATAGGTGTAAAGCATTAGGACAGAAGTCCCGATATGTGCAGCCTGTTTCTATGTATGGCACAACTGAATTCAGTGAAGGTACTGAAGGGTTGCTTGCGAGACCTGAAAAGGCCAGGTCTGGGACGTCAGCGGGAAGTGATGGGAACACTCACCAGTTACGGTGCTCCGAGTGGAAAAACAGAAAGTCGTTCCCCAGATGCATATGGTTTATTTCCTGAATTTGGATCATGGCGATACTTAAAAGAATTGATGAGGACTAATGCTGTGGTCTTGCATGCTGTGCTAGAGCTTGCACAGCCGTCGCAGACAGGCAGTCTTCCACTGTGTATCGGGAGCAAGAGGCATGATGCAGATCAAATTGTTCTTCCTCGATACTGTGCTTTAGAACCTTAGGAGGATCTTTCTCAAACAAGTAAACAACAACTTGGGTTGATGGATAAAAGGTTTGTTTAATTTGCCTTAAGCACAGGCATGTGTAGACTAAAAGATTTCTATGGGTTTTGACTGTTTCAATATTTTGTTTGTTTGTTTGTTTCTCTGGTGCTTATGAACCAGCCAGGAAAGAGTTTTTTGGTTAAGAGTTTACCCTGGAATAATTCCTGGAACAGTTTTTGCTTAAATTTGTCGCAGGTGAAGCCTCTGGGAATGAGGCTTTAACCAGTTTTCTGACCTGAGAAATCCAAGGTCGGGAGGAGGCAGAGGTGCTCTGTGGCAGAACAGGCACGCCCTGTGGCCTCAAATCCAGAAATTCTGCCGTACGCAAATGAGTTCAAACTGCAATTTAAAAATACCATGTTTACAATACAGCACGGCTGTGATAAAACGAGTGATACTTGTCTTCAATTCTGCTTTAGTCTCTACCTTCTGACATGCTCTGTATTCACCAAAAGATGAAATTCAGTTCAAAAGACATTCTAAGCATTTGGCCTGTGCATTCCTTTCCTTGTCTTATGAAAAACAGCAAATGAAGCAAAAATGGTCACATTTCTTCGCAGCAGATCAGGGCTCAGGCTAGGCAGTATTTTTCTTCCACTGGTTATCTTCTTAGATCCTGATGCAGAGAGATGTGGAGGAGAGAGAAGAATCTGAGAACTGCCCTGAGGATTTGCTGTGAGTTAGAGCCAGACACCTTCCCTGCGTCCCTGCCACGCAGGTGCCGTGGTTCACGGGGGTGATGGGTGAGCCAGCTCTCCTCATTGGCAACCACTGGCTCTGAATTTAATTCCAGGCCGGTCCACCCCAAATGGCTCCAATGACCTGAGTGTAGCCAGGGTCATTTGCTGTGTTGCTGTTAATGTCCTGCCTGCTGTTTAGGATCAAATTGATTTCTTTACTGGGCTTACATGAGATCCAATGCTCCTGAATGCAGTAGTGAGGGTAATTCAGGCTATAAGGCCTAACACAAAGCCATTGCCTTCAGGAGTGTTTTCACTGAAGAACAGTTTCAGCTATTCCTTTCCACACCTAATTTCATAATTAGGTCCCCTGTGAATAATTTACCAATTATTTTTCTGCTTATAATCACTGGAAAAATGATGGCAGAATTAAAGCATATGGTGCTTTATACTTTAGTCTGTCTTGCTTCGTAATATTAACCAATTTATCTGCAATTTCACTTTGAATTGGTACAGTATTTCTGAAAAGTGCCTTACAGAGTCAGATGAGTATGAAACAGGCATGTACACACCTATTAAATATTTAACCATATTTATTTTAACCATAATATTTAATATTACCAGTGGCGGCTTAAAACTGCAGCTACGGCTGTTATTACAGAACATAGCAAAATTTAACTGGCAGAGGTGCAAAATCTCTGCGTCAAAATAACAGAAAAACACAACTGGTTTACATGTTTTTAAATCAAACAGAAGATGCTAAAATGCCATGAAATGGCAGATTTAGATTATTGGATCTTTTGTTGTTGTTGTTGATTTTTCAGCTATTTTAAAGACTTTTTCCTGTGTAATTGTTCAAGTTAGGTGAACACAGACCCAATTCAAAAAATCCCATTTTTATTCCATCTTGCTTGTCTTCAACTTGTCTTTCTCTGACAAAATTTGCAATAAGAGAGTATAGAAGGTAACAGGTGTAGGCTCCTGGCCTGTTTACCTAAGTGCAGGTAGTACCAAAAGCCCCACTGTAAATACTTCCAGGAAAAAGACTGGCCTTCTCCAGAGAGTTACTAACCTGAGAAGAGGATGCAGATGAATGCTGGCAGGAAAAGCTCATAAATGAGACCTTAATGTGCAATTAGCCAGATCCACTGAGGAGATGGGGACGTCACCTGAGGAAGCAAGGTACTTGTCTGCTACTGCGAACATAAGCTGATGCTGCCAGCCCATTCTGGTTTTAGTTGTGGCCTTTTTGGAAATAGCGTGGCGCTCCTCGCTACACACTGCTTGCTTCTTGCAAGAGTAAGCTCCAAAGATGCTCAGCATCTTGCTGAGTTAAGACGCTGGTTTTTACTCCAAACCAGAAAGCCAGTCTTGCCTGCATGTGGGATGCTGTCTGAAGCAGGAGGGGATTAAATGCTTTCATTACATAAATTCAACGATTGGGATTAGGCCCTGCTCCAAAGACAGCGGGGTGTGCCAGACCTGAAGCATGCAGCAGAGATCGGTGAAGAGTGAACCAGGAGCTGTGCTCTGTCCCTGTGGGCCACTGGGACCAGAGGGAAATGTTCCCTGAGACAGGTCAGGTCTGGGACATGCCCCAGGAGGGCTCCTGACCCTTTCCCAGGTGAAAGAGCAGGAAAGTTGGTTGACCATCCTGTACGCACAGCAGATCAGAGAGGTTTGGCTGGTTTTATCAGAAGGAAGTGGCACAGTCTGATGTATTCCCACTTGAATGGACTTACCTTCTGACTATCGTATTTTTGTCTGGCTGAGAGTGAAATGTCTGTCCTTCCTGCTCTCTGAGTTTGGGTATCCAGCTTTTAAATTGGCTGATCAGCCTGGTGTACCCATGATGGCTTCAGAGGGAGTTTCCTTTCACTTAGAACTCTTGGGCATGGATCTCCAGTTTTCTTGAAAATCCTTTTGCTGGGGGCACCTCTCTTAGTGAACACACATTGCAATGAAAAGTGCTGGAAAAAACGTTTTCTTTTATTCTAGTAAAGCGTAGCTTATTTGAGCGATAAAAGGAGCATTTGTGGCCTTCCTGCACATAATGAATTCTCCATTTGCAATCCGTGTTTTCAGTAGTTTCACCATGATTCAAATATGCATTAAATAGTTCTGGTTTTATAGCTGAATGAAGAAGGTATAAAGGTTAACTTTTTCAAAAGGTGATTAGTGCTTTAGCTTATAAACACTTTAACAATCAGTGCTTTAAAAAAATGAAAAGCACCTGTAGTGCTCTGATTCCGTAACAGTCTAAAAGGTGATAGTTCTTTTTTTGGTGGTGCATTGACGGGGAAAAATAAAAAGGCAAAAAAAAAAAAGCCAAGAATGAACAAAATTTATTAACTTAGAGTTTAGACAACTGTCCTACCACTTCTTATATTCATCAGTCAGATAAGCTCACTCATTTTATCACCCTGCTAACATTTCTTTCAAATCAATATTACAAACTGCTTTGTTTCTTCAGCTACTTGGACTGGAGCTTGATAATGTAACTGCTTATAGAAATCAACTGCGAATATAAATACAGCTTTTTAAGTGTTCGTTATCTCAGCTGATTTTATTTTCTTACATAATCTGCTGTTAAATGGATTTGCAACTTTATCTTGTTTATGAAAGCCCAATTAACAGTTCGTTTGCAGTTTGGTTCAGTACTGCAATGGTAATCAGTGTTTTAATTATGAGGGGTTTTTTAACAGTTACATTTTCTCCTTCGCTCAGAAACAGCATGTGCAAGTTCCTTTAGCTTGGGAAATTCAGCTGTAGGGCTTTACGACATTTGCGCTTTTGCATATCTGTATCTACAAGGATAAATATTTAAAATATGCCATATAAATAGACATACTCTTCCTGTTGTAAATGCTATTTGTAACAGGAAATCCACTGTCTTGCACAACAGGTATGGTTTCTTTGGTACTCCCAACTTGATTCAACCCTCCATGCTCACCTTGTTACCTGCGTGTTGTGGCAGTGGACTCGACAGAGTTTCTTCTTTTTAATTAATTCATTTACATTGAATTTTACTACCTGTAGATGTGTGTACATGGGTGTATGATGCTCAACAGATCTTTCAGTGTTATATATCCATTCAAACAAAAGAACAGTGCTACACACTTCCAAATACATTCAAATATTAAATACTGTTTAAACCTTTAGCATGTCCATCCTTACACAAGTCTCGCTCTAGCTGTTCGTTTCTGTTTCATTAGTTAGCCATGCTTCAGGCATACCTGGCATCTACTGATTTTTCTCCTCTGCTCTTGTCCTTCTTTTAGAGTTCCTGACAGGGGGGCTGATGCAAACTGCAGTTCGGGTATCACGGTTGTTAGCCAGAAACTGTATTCGTTAGCAAAAAACTGGCATGTTCCCCGCTGACCCTGGCATTCAATGAATGGTGCTGATCTGAAGTCTTCTAGGCAGCTTCCAGGTGACATAAGGGACTGTCCACCACCCTGGTCACCAGATCCAGTGTGCTGGAAAGAACAATGAAAGAGCTTGGTAACTGTGCATGAAAAGTAAATTATGTTAATCTGTCTTTTTCTGACTTTATTTGCTTTTAAATGTATTATTTCTGGTGATATTAAGTTGGAGTAAGGTTCGTTTGCTGGTGAAACTTCATTGGCTCCGTGATGAGTTCATCTCAAAAGTCTAGAGCCAGCTCACTTCTCGGGTATTTATCAAACTGAAGAAAAGAGTAATCCAGGTTTGTTCTAAATGTTGTTGTTATCTAAACTGCTGCAAATGTCACTAGAGGATGGTGTTTAAAAGACCTCTAATTCTGAAAAATGTGTCTTTGTATAGGAAAATTCCGTTTATTAAAGACAAGCAAGCAAAATCTTTGTCATTTTAAGAACTGTGTTGCTTAAGGCTATGACTTTAGTATATATAGCTACAACCAGGTTCTGCAATTTGGAACTAACCCTTGTCTTGTTTCTTTCTGTGCATTTTCCTTTTTAATGTTTGCTAGACATTGACTACTTTAGTGTTTAGAGCTAAAGGTCTTGAACCTTTAGAACACAAAAGCTGTGTGAAAGAAACGTGTAGATGTACGATCGTGTGCCCAGCCTCTTACCATCAGAAAAGAATATCCTATCCAGAGGCTTCTCCAGCTCGCTGGGCAGGGAGGAATCGACTGATCTTGGCTGTGAACTGCCACTGCCTGGGCTGGGGCCTCGCAGACAGAACATCTGCTTATGTATGGTTGTATTTCTTCTTCAGAGAGCGGTGTCATTGGTAAAGGAGCAGCACTTGACAACCAGTAAGACTTATCATTTCGACTGGCATAGTAACAAACTTGGTTGATATTGCAGTAAGCAAAGGGCATGGTATTAAACACAGGAAGACAAGATCCTGCCAGACCTAAAAATAAGAGCATATGATGAAAATTACTCCACTTCTTTCTAGGTAAGTTGAAAACATTATTCTGGCCAATGTTGCTGCAAAACTATCGATCTTAACAAGAGTCAGGTAATTCTCAGATCTTAAACCTCCCAGGCTTTTTACCAAAATAGCCAGTTACATTGAAACCAGAAACTTTTTTTACCAGTAAATAGCTTCCTTTGACCAATAATGTTTAATTGTGTCATAATCCAGTGTTATACATGATGTAGTTTGTCACCCTGGGAAACAGTTATGGTAACAAATTCCTTAGCTGTGCCAACACTGAAAAATAAATTAGGCAAGAGGTGGCAGCTGGTTTAAAAGAGAATTGGGTATTTACAAACTCATAAGGAGCACTGAGAAACCAAATGCCAATGCTGATAAACAGAAAATTTTTGTGAAGTATGACAAGACGTTGCTACCAGCGCATTAAGCTGAAATCTCAGCAGCTGTTCTATTGCCCTCCAGAAAGGTTTCACAGACTCTCAAAAGGAAATTCTGCAAAATTCTCATCAGGCAGACATCAGTGGGAATTAAGAAGTGAGTAGAGCATACTTCAGCATTCTTCAGAGGTGAAGTTCTTCTTCCAGAACTGAATTTAGAACAGTTTCACGATGACCTATTTAGTTAACAGTAATAATCACTGCATATATGTTCTGCCTTGAACTTTGTGTGTGATGGATTATTTCCCTAATGCCCCAAAGCCCTAACGCATTCTTTGAAGACTTGTGTCATTTCTATACAGAAACCAGTTTTATCACTGATAATATTCCATTCCAGTGCTAGTAAAGGATCTGGAGTAGCCTGAGTAAGGAAAATCCCTACAAAAAGAACACACTGGTCACAGGAAACAAGGACTTTATTTTCTTTGAATCTTGTTTTCACTGCTGTTATAAGGTGTTCTGTCACCAGCTGGCTCTCATGGGGAATGCCAAACACACAACAAGGAAAACATTGCAAAACAACACTGCTGTACTAAAAATAGCTTTTTATTGCTTTTTTAAGTGTTTCTTTTTTGTCCAGCTTATTAGGTCCTTGACCTGTTCTCCTAGGAGACTTCTCTGCCTCTTGTCAAACAAGTCAACTAGGATTTAGACATTCTTTGTCTGTGCAAATTGCTGCCGATCAGTTTCTCATGCTGCAAGTCAGATGGCTTATTCAGACAGCTAATTTCAGTCAAAATTGTAGAAGACATAGAAGAAATGACCCAAGACACCAAAACCAGGAGTTGTCTTCAGGAGAAATTTGGCTGTCATTTCCAAAAAGTATTAACTTCTGACTCTTAAAAGCACACATTTCTGCTGTACATGTGACGCATAATTTTATTTGTAAAGCTTATTTATACTATCCAACTGTAACCACCTACCTTAACCAGCTCTTTTTCCCAAGCTGTCTCTATGGTAAAAAGAATCAGATCCGCCAGGGAGTTATTTCAGAGTGGCCAAATGAGATTCTTGATCTAGGAAAATCTCTCCAGTGAATTCAGACAGCCCAAAATGACTAGCCAGGGTGGGTTAAATAAACCACTCACCTCTCCAACTTCTAATCAGAATTACTTAGAGGTAGAAATACTTTATCCGTTCAACCGCATCGCGGGAGAAAGCCATTTTAAATAGCTCACATAACAGGGCAGCACAACCACGTTCATTATAATCAGTGTAAATCAGTTTTGAGTCTGATAACTTCTTGATGATTCTGTAGTGTGCCCCATTTGACTTGTCTTTCATTGTATAGATCCCATCATATTCAACCTTAACTGGAGAGCAATTATGTACAAGAAAACATACCAAGATCTTGATTATGAGCTTTCTCTTGTCCTTCCAGGTACAGCAGACTATAGCCAGTCCATAATTTTGGCATGCCCTGTGGACACAGTGGTTCTCTGTCTGATTGACTGTGAAGGACGAGCAAGAATCCACTTGCAGATCTAACATGGGGGCCTGGTGGTCCTGGGATACCAGTCTGGCCAGGTGGACCTTATACATAGGAGAAAAAGGAATTTACTTGTATGAACACGTAGCTAGTGTGATCTTTTATCCTTTACTATATTTAAGTGTTCAGTAGGGATTTAATATAATACAACTTTACAAGTTGTCATGGGTAGCAATTATTATTACTTATATATAACTCATGTTATCCTTCTTACGGGAGAGAAATGAACTACATTGCCACTGAATGCTTGACAGTTGGCTTTTCCTGTGCTGTACGGATTAAGAAATGAACTGAGGTGGGCAGTGACTTCCCAGGCTTACTGGGATGACTTGTTTAGACTGGATTTGAATCCCTGCAGTAACAGTTGATGCCCTTTCCTCACACATGTATTAAACCATTTATTTATTAAACAGCAGTCACAGTTAAAATACAATTCTAATCACTCTCAGAGAGTTGCACCATTAGCCCTGACTCAGAAATGCATACCTATTAATATATAGTGTTTAAGCATATGTGTGCTTAATTGCCTTTCTGGTTAAAAAGAGATGCTGAGAGAAATTTTCTTCCAATAGATGTTTTTATGTGTTATGAAATCATTCACAAATGTCACTATCAGTGCTTGAACTGAGAGGGAGAAAGAAGTGTCATGGTATCTCAGACTAGAGGTGGATGTATCCATGTGTGAATTAGAGGGGTAGAGAGAAAACTTAGTCTATACATCATCTTGCACATCTTTTCCCCAAAATTCATGTTCCATTCTTACCTTGTGGCCCAGTGTATCCTTGCTCTCCTATATTCCCTTGGTCACCTGGTGGTCCAGGTGCCCCAGGTAAGCCATCTTGACCTCGCAAGCCACACGACCCTTCTTCACCTTTTCTTCCTATATAAATACAAAGTATAAACTTTCCCTTCATATGGCTGCACTTAAAGGTTGTACATTGTCCAAACATCCACAGCATGCAAAGGTCCAGTCAGCAGAACTGACACCGGCAAGAAATGATGCTTCAGGACAGGGAGGTGCAGAACTGCTTTCTGCTGGGAATTCTCTTTACAACTTACCTTGTGACCACAGTGGTAGCTCAGAGGCACAACTTTAGTAACAGCAACTGCTGATAAGGTTTTACGTCCTCGCTACAGAACTTGTGTGATTTACAGTTGAAACCAAAGCACTAACAAACAGTATCATGACAAGCCTCTCGCAGGATTGCCATCAATAGCAGTAACGAGTTATGGCATCCTATGGCAGACCTTCACCTTTTAGGACCCAATTCAGCAAAGTCTCTGAATCTGTATTGAACTTCCTGTGAAGTAATGCGTTCATTTGAGTACTTACTGAATATCGAGGGACTGCAGAATTGGACTACTACTATTGGGGAAGAGTAAAGACATATTTAGGCTCCTGATGGCCTCACCTTTTTATATTTCTTATATAAAGAAAATTTTGCTATTTAACCTGCACATGGAGTAATTCAAGGTTGTCTCACAATATTCAAAATTTCCCCGTGTTACTTTTTATTAGATTCATTAAGAAAATCTAACCCAGTCAAAACAATTTAACAGCTTTTCAGTGTCGGCTGTATAATTATTTTGCCAAAGGTAAAGTAGACTGAAGGTTTAGTAATATGCATTGCTTTTGCCAGTAAAACCTCCAGTTTGCCTTCCAAGCCAGGAGAAAATTCAAATTCTGCTATCTTAATGAAAGGAAAAGCATTACTAAGTATTTCTTTCATAAAACCAGTGCAAGTATGTATCATTGTACCATCTGGTTTTACAGAAACTGTTTTAATGATGTATGTAATGGAAACAGCAGTTCAACCTCAGAAACACCTTTTAGTTGGCAAATCAATTAAGACGTGTTAAACTAGATAGTTCAATGAAAACTGCCTTGTGTTCACTTTGATGAGGGGAATGACTACTGCAGGGAAACTCCTGGGAGAAAATAATGGATTTTCTCTGTGGAGACATTCATTGTATGTCCAGTGTAGCCACAGCAAACTTCGGTTTCCCAAGTAGGAAATATCTAAACCCACATGAGGGGTTCCACTATCTAAACTGAAGACACCACATTTGGACAAACCTAAACTGAAGACGCTATATGGACATCCTACGCTATACTTCTATGAGGTTGGCCACTCATCAGTACCAGCATCACCCTGGTTTTCTTTTTATCTATGAATGTTTCAGTCTTTCGTAACTTCTTTTTAAGATCTCTTTGGTCAGTTTTATTTTGCGGTAACTTTTTCATGTACTAACAGATATAAAGTGCTATCATAGCCACCTCCAACTTCAATGTCCTTTTAAGGCTTTGGTTAGCCGAGCTTTGCGATTCATTATTGCTAAATTTTAAAGCACGTACATTTTTAACATCCTCCAAATATAACTTGTCTAAACTCATAGGAGTGGTTTGAGACATTGGTTTTTCATTTATTGGTAAAAAGGAAAAATATCATTTGAACAACTCTTTTCTCAACAGCACCTGATGCTTTTGGCCTCCCTGGTCTAGGTAAAGAGAATGTGGTGCAAGCAAGCTCAAGCAGCCTGGTTCAGCTAAACTGACCCATCATCCTCAGCATTAGCCACCCCACTGTATGGTTCCGGAGACTACTACTAAGTGTTTAGAAGAGACAGGGCAGACCATAGAGAAATTACACTGACACGCTGCCCCTTTCAGTTTGTTGTCTAAATAGCTAAATAGACAACCAGGCTTCCAGGAAAAACAAGCTTACCTTGAGGTCCAGGGTGGCCTATTGGCCCTGGTAATCCTACAGAGCCATCACCTCCTCTTTGCCCTGCGTCCCCAGGAGGCCCTGGGATTGCAGGGCATGAATCATCTATTTTTCCTGGTTCACCAGGGTCACCTGGAATGAGTAATAGGAAGGTAAATTAGACAGAAGATTGGTTAATAGCTCCACTGTGAAAATTCAACATAACTGTTAGCTCGTTTTGGTATTCAGGTGTATACTTTAAGTATTTTAAAATACTTAATTACTGAGTTTCACTGTTTTTGATTTTACTGTTAGTCTTTTGGCACAGCATTTAACAGCATGGCACACGTGTTAGCAAGTGTAAGCTAGCTGATACGTTTCAAATACATAGCGTACAGTTTCTGTCTTCATGTGCTCCAAACTGACTTGAGTTAAAGCCTAAAGTCTACACAAATTCAGCGCAAACACCTTAGCACATGTGAAGATTTACAGGCCTTTGCCTATTCTGTGGTTGCAAAACCATCAATAAGCACGCCGAAGAAACTAATCTACAATATCCATTTAACATAATTAAAAATAAATAAGTAATAATTAAAAATAAAGAATGGCCATATTTTATGTATTGAAAATTACTGGGAGCTATTGGTTATTTGTGTTTTGGAACAAAATCAGAATTGGATCAATTTAGTCAGATTAAGAATTCAGTGTCTCTAGTAATCCAGTGTTAGGATTCAAGCTTTTGCTAAGTTTTTGGTTAGAAGGCATCTGGTGTGACAACCAAAAACCAAAATGGTGATTTGAAACAAGTGTCTTTTACAAGTCTAACTGACATCATAGCATGAGACTTCTCAATGTAGCATTATCATACTGGTCTGCTTTGAAGTGCTGGTTATTTATGTGAAAAATCTATTAGAACTATGTTGCTGTAGCAGTATTCCTAGCAGTCAAGCCAAAAATACCTTCTAATAAAAGTAGAAAGTATCTATACAAGAAAGAAGCCCACATGAAAAGAACAATAATCAAAAGTCATGAACTTACCTATGAAACCTGAAGGATTTGGAAAATGGAAAGCAGATTGCAGCCATTGTGGTGCAGGGGGAAAGAAGTTTCAGGCATGTAAATTAAAGAATGGAGTAAGAACTAAAATCAGTGACGTGAGGTGACATTAGAAACAAATGCATGGTTTAGCACTTTTTACACAACTCAAATGAGAAATCTATTTTTTTTTCTGACACTTTAAATTGTATATAAGTAAACATTGGTAAGATTATCTATGAGTAGAAAGATCATGGTTAGTTGAATGAGAATGAGCAGCAGGTTCGTAAGTACCTGTGGGACCTTTGGGACCAGGTTTTCCTTGAAAACCTTGGTCTCCTGGTTGTCCTATAGCACCAGGTGGACCCTGTGGGCCATGGCTTCCCATAGGACCTGGAAAGAAAATAGTTGTGCAGTTATGTGGCTGTAGTCTGAGAAAGTGAAAACATAAATAAGATGAAGTCTGCCTTCCTGACTAACAAAAAATGCTTGGGACAGCTCTTATCTGTTGTCTCCCAGAAAGAAATGTGCATTTTTCTCTTCTCTTCTATTCCTGATATTAAATTGAATTAAAACTTATGACTTTTATTTCTGTAGAGATTGGAAGAGATTGGTGTAGGCAGGATTTCTCTACAGTGAGTGGAAGAAACAGAGTATCTAGATCCCTGTTTTCACACTAAAGAATTTGTTGAAAGCCCAAAGCTATTGATATGGGGCAGATATGAAACTCTGTGTTAGTTCTAACACATCTACATCTTCCATAGTTTATCAAGACCTCCACAGAGAGGTCAAGGTTTTCTTTATCTGGCAGACTCAAAAGTTTTACTGCCTCATTCTCAGGTTGGTAGGGGAGTCTTCCAACAAGTTGCTGGAAACAGTACTGAATCTGTCTCTACTCTGACCTTCTACCCCAGCCCTATCTTATCTGTAGGTAACAGGACAGAGCTATGAAATGTCCAGCCTGCTGCTTCTGTCTGGCTGTCTCCAATGGCAATCCCCTGTGCACAGGGCTCAGGTGCATAGGGCTGGGCATAAGCGCTCATGCTAGTTAAAAGCATCTCAGATCATACCTATAGGTCCTCTTCTTCCTTGGTTCCCTGGAGGACCTCTGGCTCCTTGTTGCCCTCGCGGGCCAGGATTACCTGGTGCCCCTCGAATACCGGTATCACCTGGATCTCCTCGCACAAAGACAGTCTCTCCAGGAGGACCAGGACTCCCAGGCTGTCCTATGGTAAAAGAGCTTTATTCTTAATATATGCACAAAGCTTGAATATCTAAAAATAGCCACATTCCACTGGGGTTTTTTACTTTTGGCTTTTTTTTCCCTGGGACATAGGGACAGCCCTTGCATGTTTTTGGAAATATTAGCATTAGCCTTTGTCCAAGGCATTGTAAGGAAGACAACAATAGGAGCAGTTCCCAAAACTATGTAGATTCTGTGTAAATAAAAGGCAGCAAGTTAATATTACGTGCATTGAGACACTGTTTCTCTATAATTATTAAGTCTCTATCCCCTATTTCCCAATAGGAAGTAACTCTTCATACTGGGTAAGGAAGGGTTCAGATAATACTTAATGTAAGGGGTCAGAACAACTTAAAAGAGCTCCACTTGAGAACCAGAATCTATAGGAATTGACTGAATCCCTTGGCAACCCCTACTTGTAACAGAAGTGAGGTCTACTTAAATGCTTACAAAAGAGTTGCCAGCTATAGCTTTCCCAAGGCTGGATTCAGATTGGAAAGGTTTTTGTGGGATTACCAACAATGGCAGGCTTCTTGACAATGTCTCCTTCTTCCTAGGAAGAGAGACCAGTTATCTTATTTCTATTTGCTTCGATGGAAACTGAGGTATGTTGTAGCAGCAGGACGTGTACAGAATTACCATGCAGGCCAGAAAACTGAATCTGGAGATCTACATTTTATACTTGCTCTGGTGATCTATCCAGTGTTCATTTCTCTGTGAAATCGCTGAGGTATTGATTAATTTCTTTGTTCACTATGCACTTTTATACACCATTCCTGAGATAGTAACCTAGTGACTCCTAGTAGCTCAGGGGCTTTTTACATTATCAAATTTGGTACTTTTGTCTATTACCTCTGATGCCATCTAAACCAGGTGGTCCTTGATCACCTGGAGGACCAGGAGAAGCACTATCAGGAGATCTTCCCATAGGTCCAGTGGGTCCAGCAGGTCCTCTTCTACCTAAGGGATCACATTTTACAAAAAAGAAAAAGAAAAAAAAAAAGTAGGATTTTTTTTAGATTACAATGACGTTACTAACAAGAAGATTACAACGTTACTAACTAAAAGAACGCTGACACCTAAAATCATAGAGGTAATCTATTATAAACATACCAGTGATTAGGCTAATGAAGACATCTTGTAGAAGTGAAAATACTTATCTTTTTAAAATTTTTAATTCTTTCCATAAAATCTACTTAAACTAAAGAAGGCGTTATTACACACTGGCATACTGCCATAAATAGCTGCCTTCTCCTGAATTGTAACAATGGGAGAAATGGTAAAAATGTAAGGCAAATGGGGACTATGAAATCATTCTGTCTGGGGCAGGATAAGTATTCACAGATTGTTCCTAGAAAAAGTGAGTTCAGCCATTTCCTAAAACCTCAGTGAACAAGTTGAACTTACTTGCCTTAAACGTATTTTTCCCCTAATTTATAATCTGGATTGTTGCAAAATATGACATTAGTGCCCTTACATGTGACAGGCCGGAATAGTTACTCATTATCATCCTCTGCATAACATACTCACAGTTTATTAGCATGTGTTGGACTCTCTTGCCTTCTCTTTTCTACAAAAAATAATCCAGTTTCTTCAGTCCTGTTTTCAACCTCATCCTTCCATTTACTCATCAGTGAGTTCTCCCTAATTTGTCAAAACTGGACGGAGTATGCCATGCCTTGCCCATCTTATGTCAAGTAGTGTTAATACACCTTAGAATGAAACTTCCTCTCTTTCTTTCCCTCAACAGCACCATTCTGTTGACTCCCTCAGTTCATGAACTAGTAACTGAACTGAGAAAAACGACTGTCTTGATCTTAGAATAATTCACCTCACCAGAATTCACCTCTGCTATTTTTCTTCTGTATGTCAGATGACACTTGTGGCAAGGTTTGGTTGAGTAAAGCTAATGACACTTCTAATCACAGAACTGCTGAGACTTGAATGGGCCTCTGGTGACTTTCTAGACCAACCCTCTCCTCGGAGCAGGGTCAGCTAGAGCAGGTTGCCTAGGAATCTGTCAAGTGGGCTTTCAGTATCTCCAAGGACGGACACTCCATAACTTCTCTGGGCAACCGGTTTCTGTATTCAATTACCCTCACAGGAAAACCAAAATTTTTCCTTATAGTTAAGTAGAATTTCCTGTATATGTCAATTTGTGCTCATTGCTTCTTGTCCTGTCAATGGATATCACTATGAAGAATGTGTCTCCATGTCAGATCCTTACTCTCCCATCAGGTACTTCCACACATTGATAAAATCCCCCATGAGCCTTCTTTTCTGGAGGCAAAGCAATTCCTCTTCCTCAGCTTCTCCTCGTATGACAGATGCTCCAATCTCTCAACCTTTTCAGTGGCCCTTCCTCAAACATTTGCCTTTTCCTATTCCTATGCAATTCCTCTATCAGCAAGGCTCTTAAATAATCATAGCAATCTTGTGATGCATTTACATCAGAGTAATTGACAGATTTACTATATTTCTGTGACTACTCGATCTCCTGCATTCTTTTTCTTCAGGAATTTCTTCCCAAGAGGCAACTCCACCTAGCAGATCCCTGAGTCTGCCCAAGTCCATAATTTTCTGTTCTCATTCTTTCCTCTCCTGTAACATAATAAACAAGAAATGCTGGGGTCTCTGCATCTACTCAGGAAACATCAGTGTGTTATTGCAACAGAAATGTTTTCAGGGAAGGAATCTTCTGGGTATTTATAGTTGTTCATACTAACCAGGGGAAAAGTGTGAATGAGCTTCATTTCAACTCTGCAGGGCACCACTAAGGAGAAAACCCTTCCTTACCTGGGAAGCCTGGGAAGCCCCTTTCTCCAGGGGGGCCTGGAATAGAAATACCAGGCCATCCAGGTTCACCTCTGTCTCCTTTTGGCCCAAGTTCTCCTGGGTATCCTGGGGCCCCTGTCTCACTTTGACCTTTATAGGAAAACAATTATGTACATAAAGCTTACAGTGAGTACAAATACAGATGTGCAGAACAGAATAACAGCTGCAGATGATCCTCCTTGGAAGGGTTGCCTAGTGCTATTTTTCTGGTTCTCTCTTGGAAGCTAGCTAGTTTTGCTGAATCTGGCCCTAATTAATCTCTTTCAAAGTAATCTCTTTGCTTTAATGCTCTTCTCCAGGGGTTATTTTATATCGTATCATTCTTGTCTGTAACTTGAAATATAAACTGATTGCATGGTCCTAAATTTATTTTTCTATCAGCACAGATTTATAACCTCTAGATAGATTATGAGCACTGGATTTAATTCTGCTTCAAAAGCACCTTTTGAAAGTTGCAAATAGATCAGCGTGAGTGAAATCGAGGGTCCTCTTAAGTTTGTGCCACAACTCCCATGGACTTTAATGGGGCTGAGATTTCATAAGTCTCTTTTTAATTTGTTAGTTTCATCTCTTATACATACAAAAAAATCCTGGAGACTCAGCTCTACTTTGAATAATCTGCACTGTACTTTTTCATTTTATAAGCAGCCTTTAAAGGTTGCAACAAACCTAGATGAGTAATGGAAGTTTTAAAGTTTTCCTCTCAAATTACTGCAGGTGTGTCACTAGGTATACTTACATCCTGTTTGAAAGTTTTGTCTGAGCCTTAATAATATCTTTTGGGCAAGGCAAACATCAAAATACCGTGCATCATTCTTTGCAAATTTTAAGATAAGGTTTTCTGTTCCCCATAGCTATTTTTCTTCTTTACCTGGAGCTCCTGCAGAACCCTTTTGACCTTTTAGTCCATCCAAGCCGTCCAGTCCAGGCAGTCCAGGAAAACCTGAGAGGTATTACAGGCATGACTGGGTGCCACAATAATCCTTTATAGTCACAATTAAAAAATATGCCATTTTTTTCCTGACAACATATTCTGGATCAAGACACAGTATTTGCTGAATTTAATGCTTGTTGGCAATTGAAGATGAGATCATGTTGCACCTGAGTGCAGTCCTTTTGGAAAGGAAAATGTGAAAAATCTGAAAATAGCAATCATCACACAGTTTCCCATCAAAGCAATCAGAAAACATACCTTTCAAATCCTTTAGGTATTTCTATCCTGCAGCTCATGACAGGCTAGCTTACTCTATAGTGAACCTCGCTTCTGTGGCTAAATTACTACTGCTACATGTGATTAACTAGTCCAAAATTAGCTGTGTTATCACCACATGACCAGGTGGCTGGGATGCACACACTATGTAAAAGAACTGCAAAGCTGGAACTTTTTCACAGCTTCTGTTCCAAATTTAAGTGCAATTTAAAGAAGCTAAATTTTCACCTGGTTTCTTTTCCCTGGTCCTGTAGATTTCACACAGAAAACTATGCTTTTTTTTGCATCACACTATTAGAAGAATTCTTTCAACTGAACGGCACAAAGTCTTTGAATTCAACAAATCCGTAATTGAGACCTATGCTGACATGTGATAGAGCAGCTTTTTCACCAGTGGCATTCACTAGATGACCAGATCAGTCATCTGAACACTACCAGTGTTCATGGCAGTCAGACACAACTTTTGCTTTATAATCTGTGCTTTTCTGAAAATAGTTAAAATACAGTAAGTAAAAACACAGATGGCATTTCTTATCCATTTTTAAGAAGTTGAAATAATCGGAGATTGTGTTTGTTGTTTGTAGCAGAGGGTAAAAATATTTCCATGTCATTAGCACTTTATAGTTTCTTAAGTTATACAGATGAAGTATCAAATGTGAAGATATACAGTTATTAAAAGCAGATGGCAGCCTATTACCTGGTAGGAACAGATTTGTCAAAACCGATAGTTTGTTTGGTAACAGGTTTCAAAGAGGTTCCAGACAGAGGAATAGACTTGGGATGCTTCTTGCTCCAGAGAGGAACAGATTAGAGTGATCATGAAGTTGAACAATACTGTCAGTGCCTATTCCTGTCTCTTTTCCACCTTTGCTGCTTAACTCTGCCTAATTTCCTTCCCCACCAGTTCCTCTCCCTGCCAAACAGAATTCCCAGTCCAGTTGCAGTGTTGTTTTTTTTTCCCACAAGTCTGAATTATCAGTCTCCTTTTCCCTACCTATCTACTTTCTGCCACAGAAGTTGTAGGTTTCTCTGTTTCAGGTTCCTGTGCTTGATCCCAGCATGTCCTGCGGCCTGCAAATCTGCTGTATATTCACAGCATGAATCGTGAGAGAATTTATTGTTCTACTTAAGCACATATTAATGGATATATATTTTTTTAAAAGTTTATAAGCTGGTCAAATTTGGCAGGGACAAATTGCTGTAGGAACAACACAAATACCCTTCATCAACTGTTTCACCTGCCAAATTTAAAGGTACCTAGTTCAAAGATGGCTCATCTGAGAAAGGAAAAATAAAAGTACACAAGTGTTCTCTCAGACACACCAGAATAATAATTCTGTAGCTTTGTTCTCAGAAACTGTTGAATTATTTTAATTAAAATTTAACAAAGGAATGAAAAGAAAATGGTGGCGGGCAGAATTCCAGCCTGTAGCAAACACTGATCTGGAGAGCCTTTAAATCCAGACTATTGTTTGAAAATATGCAAAACATTGATACTATACTCTCTATCTAATCCTCTTTATAATATGGGATAGCAGTAATCCAACCTGTAATATCTTCTATGTCCTTAATTAACTGCTTTTTAACTTTTCATGCCATTGTAAGTTTTAGTCCTGCTTTCTGTAGGCTGCTTGGGCTTTGGGCATGTTCCTATTTTCAGATTTACTTAAGAGTTCCATGCCAATTTGGGGAATTTAACAGTGGTGTTTTAAAATTATTATGAACTCCCAACTATTTTTGGCACCCAGGTCACCATTTAAGACTTTTTTTGATCTTTAGCTCATTCAGTCAAGATTGATGGCTTGGTTTACTTGCTTTCCAGGGAATTTCTGATACATTTGCCAACAATCCATTATAATATCAACGCTTGAAATTCTAGATTTTTGGACTGCTATATTCCCATATTTCTAGGTACAGATGAATTGGCTGACCTGTGTATGAACCACTGTTTCTGTATTTTACAGCCCAATTCAGCTTCTACTCACACAAGTAATTCTGCTGATGTTCTTAATATTACTTGCTTCATCAAGGATTACTCATACAAGTAAGGCTTGCCAGACTAAGCCCTTAACTAGAAAAACTATCTCTGTAATAAAGAAAATGTGATTGTGCTTTGGTAGATGCTGTTTAAATAATTTTTTTAAAATGTAAAAGTTCTTCAGGCACAAGACATTAAATGTAAAAGAGAAGCAATTAAGACTAACAAGGCCATGTACTTAGCTAAAACAGCCAATTAACCATTTCATTTCTAATGCTAGCAACAGTATTTATTGAAAATAGCGTTAAGATCTCCATTCTCCAATGGAACTGGAATACAAATTCCATTCAGTTTTCATTACTGAGTATAATTTCAAAGGTGTTAGCTTTCTTTTCAACTATGCTGCCAATATATAGAATCCTAAGGCTTAGCAGGCAACTTGGTCTCTAATTAATTGTCATTTGGAACTGAACTTTTCCCTCTGCAGCATGTGTGTTAATTTGTTATGCTTCCTGTGCAGGACTTGGGATAACTTCTGCACGATATAGAAAGGAAGTGTCTTAGAATTTATGACAAGAAGGAAAGAGTACATCTGCTACTGAGAAGTTTTCAGCAGAAAAATGCCTTTTTTTTCCTGTCCTCCCACCAATTTAAACTGTCTCTGCTTTTTTGCAGCAAATATTGTTTGCAACAATGAAATGTTCTCTTGTAGATTATGCACCAGCAAGGAATCTGTCATGACAGTTTAAATCACCACCACTTATTTACTGCAAGCAATCATAAATTGTTTTCATTTTTCATTTAAATTTTTAGTAATTTTCTTCTAAACTTGTCAATTTTTCTTTAGGCTGAATTTGAAAAAGAGAATCTGATGTCCTCTCTAACCATTGATCATAGCCCCAAGTGTTACTTTACTGTGATTTCTGTATATGGGTCACTAGTACTATTCTTCCTGTCCAGGAACTGGTTATGAAGCACACTGTAACAGAGAGAGGATACAAAGTATACAGTTGATTACCTTTCTTTATGAAGTGTTAATGTACCTTAAAATTTCAGTATATCATTCTATATCATTATTAATGCTCTCCAACTAAAACAACTGCATAGATAAAATTCTGTTCAATCTAAACATAACAATCATTGTGAGAATTGTGAAGTAGGATTTGGAGGAAACATTCCTACATTAAATCCACCGAAAATCCGTTTCTGGAAAACCAACAACAACAGAACTCAACTAATCTTATCACAATTTGATAAAATAAATTTGTAAGACAAAACTGTCCATAGCAGTCTGCTGGTTTTGTAGAGTAACAGTGGCACTCCATGGTGAAAAGGTAGAACATAGCATAATTGACATGAAAGTGAAACATCTGAATTACTGCAAACTCCCTTTTCTTTCCTTAACTTCTGCTAACAGATACATCACCTAAGCCGGAATCTGTTTCTGCGTTCTTCCTTAGTCATTTTAGATTGTAGCCCAATTTTCTGAGGTAGCATTTACGCTACTTTTCGAAGGTGATGGGGACGGTCTTAATTCTAGTAGTTTAAGAGAATGCTGAATCAAAATCATGCTCACAGTTAGGCCTTTTCCATTTTCACTACTAAAGGGGTATTTATGTCTGGTGCTGTTATATTACCAGTAGAAATGCAGTGTATGCTGTTCACCTTTTCTGCCTTGGGATCCAGCTAATCCTTGCAATCCTGGAAGTCCCACAATTCCATGTTTCCCTTTTTCTCCAGGTTCTCCTGGCAATCCCTGAGGACCTGTAGCTCCTGAGAGTGGGAAAAAAAAAAAGTGAACAGGTAAATCTATTAAACTGTTGATTTTTTTTTTCATGCTATGCAGCACACTGCGTTAATCAGAGATACCTGAAAGTGTACAGGAATGTATGAAGAACTGACAGATCTTGCCTTTTGAGACTCTGAGCAGGCTATTGCTGCTGCCTATAGGCACTGAAACAGCTTTCAGTATACGCCTTCATATGATCTCTGATTTCTCTAACCTCCTCTGCAGAGATGCCTCCTCAGCTGCATTTGCCTGTTCCATATCTCTTTTGAGCTGTTATATGGCACTATTTTTTCATCTTTGGCATTACCTGGAAATCCAGGTATTCCTGGGTATCCAGGGTCACCCTTGGATCCTGGTCTTCCAGGTTGCCCTTGGATACCTGGTGAACCCGTCTCTCCAGGGAATCCACAGAGTCCTTAAAGAAAAAAAAATAATCCAGTATTTATTTGTTTAAAGTTGCACATTCTTCATCTCATGATAAGTTTAAAAATATAAAAGTTGAGTAAGGGGTTTTTGACTAGAAAAAGAATTTAATTCAAATACTTCAGATCCTCGCATCTGTTTATGAGCAATGAATTATACTGATCTCACTGGTGATAACTGCAAGAGCAGAAGCCAGGTTTTATTCTGGTCAGTACTGGAATGTTCATTGGTGCTGCACTAGACAGCCTTAGACTCTACCTCCTGTGATCTTGCTAGCCATATTGCATATTGTGATCCATCTCTAATCACTGGGTCTATAACTATAGAAAATACCATTCAATAAGCAAAGCAAGCAGAGTTTGCTATCTGTTAACGAAACTTGGAGAAAATAAGTTCTCGACTCCTTTTATTTATTTTTTTTCTTCAGACAAAGTTACCTGGTAATCCTGGATCTCCGGGAGGCCCTTTTCGACCATGTGTACCAAGCAGGGGAGTTGGGTCACCTCTCTTGCCTGTTGAAGTATAATGACTTTTATTTCATACAAGTATCCTTTTCATACACAAAACCAAAGCTGGACGATTTTGTAAGATCAGATAATTTACTTATAGATACTAACAACTATAAAAGGGACTGAGAGAACACAGAATGGTAAATGCTTTGGCACATTCAAATTATCTGCCAGCTCTCCTTGTCTTGAAATACTAAATCAGGCTGTTCTTAGTATGACTCCTGGCACTATTCTTCTAAATTTCCCATAACAGAGAAAAAAATAAATTACAGGAATTTTCCCAATACTGACAGCATATACTGAAAATGAAAGATACTGCATCAATTCACTAAAACGTTTTATTGAACAAAGAGCTCTCCTTACATAAGTTTGTGAGGATGTGCAAATTCAATACAGTGTGAGTCTATTTACTCAGTCAAGACCTTTTAGGGACTAGCTGAGGATATTAAGCCAGCACACCTTTCTGTCTGTGCTACAATTCCTGTTTATCCCAGAATCAGTAACTTCAAGCCATTTTGCCTTACTTTGTCTGTACAGATGTCTGACCTCTCCTACCTACTCATGCTGTCTCCAGCTGCATTGTCTGATTTTGCTGTGAAGAGTTAAGAGGAAATACCAAGTTCAAGTGTTGCTAGAAATCCCCTGCTATAGCAATCCCCAGTTCTACTGGCTATTTCCTTCTTTAGTTTTAAGGATAACTTTTCCAGTAAATTTGTTTCAATACATTTCATAAAAGTTCTCTTTATGTATTTTTGTGGGAATATATTCCCTGGCTGAGGTCTTACATTTTCCACTTCTTCAACAGTTCAACTGAGAAAATAATTTCTCCTGTCCCCTTAATGTTTTTTTTTCAGGCAATGATTTAATTTTGTTACTTATTAGCAATTAAATCCTGTTCCAAGAAAATTTCAAATATGATGGATGGCACCATTTTGTACTTAAACACTTTTAAAAATCTAAATATTAGAGCTATTTTTTACAGAGTAATCTCTACCTATGCAAACCACCACCTCCATAAGCAAATATTTTCAACTCAATAATTTTGCATGCATGGGTATGAACTCTGCCTGATTTGTTATGCTACACTTTCAGAAGTTCCAAGAATTCAAAAATCATGGCCTGGAAAACACTGAAAAATAAGTGATACAAAAGAAATCATAAATCACGCTGAATATTTAAAAAATTCTACCTATCTGTTTAATACCATAAATTATTGCATTTTCTCTTTTTTGATTATTTTCAAATTTTACAGATCCATGAGTGGATTTTTTTGAATTTTTAAACACTATGAAATTTGACACAAATTTATCTTCTAAATTAGTAAGACCTACTATAAAAGGAACAAACTGTTAAAGAATATACTGAAACGTAAATTTTTGCCTTCACATACGTCAGACTGGTTTCTAATGACATTCATGTTTTAATTAATTTCCCTTTTGTCCCGTTTTACCTTTTCTAGTGAGTATTTACCATCTATTAAGAGCATATGCATCCCAGTAATATAACTTTTTTCAAAAGTATGCCTATATAAACTCATTACCTTTCAATCCTTTTGGGCCAGTCAGTCCTGGATTTCCAGGGATTCCTGGTAAGCCACAGTCACCCTGATTTTATAAAAAAACAAATAAAAATGTTTGACATATGATATGTGTAGCAGGAATAATCTGTAAGAGCATTTGGTTCTCTTACACTGGTAAACAGACCACCAATCATTATGAATAACAAAACTGCATCTTAAGCCCAACAGAAAAGCATGCTGTCTTATACATCTAACACTGGCCACTTACAATATTAGGAAACCGTAGATTAGCCTTGCTAATTATTTTGAATTTGTGCTTTTAGAGTTTATACAAACTCTTGGCTTGAACAGTTTAAAGTCCCGGCAGATGGCTTGAGTAATTTGATCTAAAAGGTACCATAAAAATGTACCAAATATTGTCATATGTTACCCAAAATTTACTATAAACATTAACCAGAAATAAGTTGTGATGTAACAATAAAAAGTAAAGATTTCTCTATTTTTCCTTTTGAATAATGACCTATAATCAGCAAAACACACATCTTTTTGAAGAAATATAATAAAAGACAAGCCAAGCAAAGATCTGTCCCTTTAAAAAAAAACAACCATGCTTTTGCTTCATGCTTCATGTAATGCCACTGCCTGTCTGTCTAGCACACAAGCCAGTGGAGAATTTTACCTTATATCCATATGTTACACACATGCGGTTTTGTACATTTGTTCTTGAGCAATATTGCTTGCCTGGGTTCTGTCTGGTGCAAGTTGTTGGTATGGGCACAGAAGGCTTGGTTTGGTTTGGCCTGTCTACTGGCTTGGCTGCTCCACATACCAAGATATGAAGCAGCAGCTACATATTCATTTCATATTTGTGCTGCTGCTATGTTATGATCTCTGCAGTAAGTGATTTGTCATCGGTTCTTAGGAATAATGTAAAAGATGTGACTGCGCATCCACGTTTTGCCTCCCTAATCAGTGCAGTGTAGCCTGGACTTCTCCCAAGTGGCAATGTAACAAAATCACAACATGCATCTAGGAGAGAGGGGAGAGGCCCTTTGTTGACTCTGACTACAGTTCCTGCTAAAATGTAATCACTGCACTGAAGTGTTGCATTAAGGAATTTACCTTTCCCATTATACTGACAATCTCTTCTCAGGAGGAATATCTAATGGGTAAGTACAACAGAAGTACCCTTCATCACATTTACTGGAAGCAGGAGATAACTGTAGAAGCTCAGGACATTTCACTACCAGTTAGTTTACCTGGTCTCCTGGTTGCCCTTGTAAACCTGTAATTCCTTTAAAGCCCTTTGGTCCTGGGAAACCCCGTGATCCTGGAAACCCCATCAGTCCAATGTCACCATGGTCGCCTGGCAGTCCTGGGACACCATTCTTCCCTGGAAATCCTGGGGTGCCTCTGAAACCAGTATTGCCTTTTTCGCCTGAAGAAGATAAGGACCAGTGTAGTCAAGCCATTTATTTGACACTTATTTTGAACATGGCTATACTTTCACACTTTGTGTATTGCCTCAGTAATTGTCCAAAGAAACTAGCTCCTAGTTTAAGAATCTATAAACACAATAAAGTTGCTGCATGTTACTGCAGCTATGAGTGCAAACCCATGAAAACCACCAGTGATTTATATCAGATGAATAATGTGTGTTTATGCAGGGCTTTATTTTATGAACTTACCTCTTTCACCGCTAAATCCATTCTCACCAGGAAACCCTGTTTCCCCCTTTTGTCCTTTCTCAAGACGGATGTTAACACAGCCACTGTCTCCTGGAGGCCCTCTGTCACCTTTGAACCAAACATATGTAAGTAAATCCTCATGAGTGCCATGTCCTGAAAATTAATTTTGGTCAAAACTTCACGAACAGGGGAAGCCTTCAAATACTAATGCAGTTCTCAGTTGTTTCAGCAGGGGCACTGCTAACAGAATTCTTGCTTTTAAGCAATTCAGTAGTTAATTCAGTAGTAACCCAGGTGATGTTAAATCAGAATTATTCCCTGTTTGTCTGGAATATGAAATATGGCAATTGTATTGTCTCCTCCACAGTGTATTGTCTGTGACTGCACCTTGAAGATGGTCATTCTCTTTCCTATGTTAATACTTACAGAGGTTATTTCCTGTATGTTTTACATAGATTGAAGAACACAGACAATATGATAGAAAACTTGAAAAATCTAACGTTTCAGATGTGTACAGGACAATCTTCAAGGTCTGAATAAGCGATCTTACTGTGTTTGATTTAGTGCACCACTTGATCTGAGTTGAACTAATTTTTCTTTAGTTATTTTTCATTACGGATTCATAAGTGACTGGATTAAGTATTTAGTATCTCTGAAAATAGAAGTAAATATATCCTTGTAAGTTAACAATATTAAATAATTATATTAAAAGTAAATCTATTCCTAACACAGTAATAGCAAAACTAAACATAGCAGTAACTAACAAAGGAGTGAAGGAGATTTTTACAAACCTTTTATTCCCATATCCCCACATTCTCCACTAGGCCCAGGTGGACCCATTTTTCCTTCTTCTCCTTTTACACCAGAGATTCCCATTGGGCCTTGTGTTCCTGGCAGTCCTGGGAATCCTTGTGGTCCTTGAATCCCTTTGCTTCCTGGTAATATTAAATGCTTTATTTACATATTCAGTCTGCTAAGCTGTTGCTGTCTTATTCTAAGGAAGAGTATGAAGCAAAAGGCAGGAAGTTTAGAAGGACTCCTTAGGAAATCAGCAAAGCTAGAGAACCAATAGTTGGAACACAGCTTCTTGCCAAGATAAAACTTGTTTTGAAATCCAGATTGCCTTGAAGCAAATATCTTCCCCCTCCCTGCTGCCACCCCCTGAAGATTTAGGCTACACTTATGACTAAAGCAGTTATCCCCAACACATCTTAAATCATACGCATAGCCTAAGACGCCACCAGATTTTGCATGTGGCTACTGAAAATCACGACTCCTACTGTCCAGATGACAGACAGAGGAAAACAGCATTTTGCGACCGTTACTTGGAACTTTTGCCTGTTAGCCAGTGGTCATTTGGGACCAAGGTAACAAAGTATTAGACATGATGTGAAGGTATTTCTCCACTTATAGAATAGAATCATAGAATTGTTTAGGTTGGAGAAGATTATCACCTTTAAGATCAACCATTAACTTACGACTGCAAAGTCCACCACTAAATCATGTCTGTAAGTGCCACATCTACATGTCTTTTAAATACCTCCTGGGATGATGACTCTACCACTTCCCTGGGCAGTCTGTCCCAATGCTCGACAACCCTTTCTGTGAATTTTTTTAATCTAATATCCAATCTAAACCTCTCCTGGCACAACTTCAGGCCATTTTCTCTTGTCTTATTGCTTGTTACTTGGGAGAAGAGACTAACACCCACCTCACTACCACCTCCTTTCAGATAGTTGGGTCTCCCCTGAGCTTCCTTTTCTCCAGGCTGGATAAGCCCCGTTCCCTCAGCCGTTCCTCGTAAGACTTGTTCTCCAGACCCTTTTCCAGCTTCATTGTCCTTCTCTGAAGACACTCCAGCACCTCAATGTCTTTCTGGTAGTAAGGGGCCCAAAACTGAACACGGTATTTGAGGTGTGGCCTCACTAATGAAGAGTACAAGGGAACAATCACTCCCCTGGTCTTGCTTTATTTTATTGTGTTCAGTGCTGGGCCCCTCAGTTCAAGAAGGACAGGAATTGCTTGAAAGAGTCCAGCAGAACCACAAAGATGATGGAAGGAGTGGAGCATCTCCCTTATGAGGAGAGGCTGAGGGAGCTGGGGCTCTTGAGCTTGGAGCAGAGGAGACTGAGGGTTGATCTCATTCATGTTTATAAATTTATAAAGGGCGAGTGTCAGGAGGAAGGAGCCAGGCTCTGCTCTGGGATGTCCAATGCCAGGACAAGGGGCAATGGTCCCAAGCTGGAGCATAGGAGGTTCAACCTGAACATGAGGAAAAACTTTGTCAGTGTGAGGTTGACAGAGCATGGCCCAGGCTGCCCAGAGAGGTTGTGCAGTCTCCTTCTCTGCAGACATTCAAAACCCTCCTGGCCGTGTTCCTGTGTGACTGCTCTGGTGATCCTGCTCTGGCAGGGGTTGGACTGGGTGATCCTTCAAGGTCCCTTCCAACTCTTAATATTCTGTGATTCTGAGATCAGGTTAGTCAAGCAGGACCTGCCTTTCATAAACCCATGCTGACTGATCACCTGGTTGTCCTGTATGTGCCACGCAATGGCACTCAAAATGATCTGCTTCACAACTTTCCCTGGCACTGAGGTCATATTTACAGGCCTGTAGTTTCCTGGATCCTCCTTCTGGCCCTTCCTGTAGGTGGGCATCACATTTGCTAACCTCCAGTCAACTGGGACCTCCCCAGTCAGCCAGAACTGCTGATAAAGGATTGAAAGTGGCTTGGCGAGCACTTCTGCCAGCTCCCTCAGTGCCCTCTGGTGGATCACATCTGGCCCCATAGACTTGTGTGTCTAAGTGGTGTGGCAGGTTGCTAACCATTTCCCCTTGGTTTTCCCCTGCTGCAGTGTCTTATTCTCGAAGCTGGAAGGGGAAGAGGGTGTAAAATACTTCCTAGCTTTAACAGCAGTAGAAATAGATCCTTCTACAAAAGAAGTTATAGAAGAGATGGTTTGCAGGATGTTTAACATACCTGTTCGTCCTGGGAAACCAGGTGGTCCTTTATTGCCTGGAAGTCCTGGAAGTCCTCGAGAGCCTGGAGGACCTGGGGGACCTTGTGAGCCAGGAGAGCCTTTGAGACCTTTGATTCCAGGTGGCCCATCTAGGCCCCTGTCTCCTCTCTGACCTTTAAAGCCTGGTAAGCCTGAAAAAAAAGAGCTTTAATTTATGTATGTAAATACAGGAAAATTGCATTGCTGTTTCAGGAATTGTATCTAAAAAGCAGAAATTATTTTGGTATAAATTGGAATATCATCAAATATGGCAAAATAACTTGGAAACTTTGCTACCATGCTGGGGTCCTGGCTCTGCCTAGACTCTTCACCTGCAGTATCTGTTTTCTTGTATTTCTTTAGTGAGAGACATATCAGCAGAAGTGCCCTGTGAAAAATTCCTACTACTTTGTAAATACTTTTGATATATATGTCTCCTAGCTCTCCCTAAATACCACTTCCATTTAAGAATAAGGAAGATAAAAGTATCACAGTTATGACAGGAGCTCACTTAAGTTACTCAGGACAACAGAGTAAGAAATAACTAGTCAATTTATTACTGACAGTGAACACACTGTTATTTGGCCAGTTAAAGAACAGTATGGGAAGGGAAGGAAAACTGGAAAACATCTGAGATGCACACTATATATTTCTTGAGTTTAAGGAAATGTGCAAAACATAATGTACACACCAACTAATGAGCCGCCTCCATGGAAATATTTGTCATGCCAGCCACAAAAATCATACAATGAAAACTACTGGAAAAGATGTGCAAATCTTAAGAGCTCTGAGACAACAGGATGTTGTGTACCTTGAGGTCCCGGCTGGCCCATAACACCTCTGAATCCTGGTGGGCCTGGTAAGCCCATGTCACATAGTGGACCAGGGAAGCCTGGACAGCCTGGTGCTCCTATGTCACCTTCTGGGCCTCTAAAACCTTTGGCACCTGGAAATCCCGGGGTACCAGGCTGTCCTGAAAACAAAAAAACCATTGTAATATGTTTTATTTCCAGTAGTCACCATCCCTCAGAATTTCTAATTGTAAATTTGAATTTTACATGTTCAGTTATTGTAGTATCTTACTTATCCTCTAGTTTTTGCATATTTTGTGAAAACTAATGCTTTTGCACAATTTAGAGGTGGCTGTTGTGTAGTGTTTCTCTTTAAAGAACAAAGACGAATTCAAGTCTCACCTATAGATGAGGATGACTTTGTGGCACAAAAAGCTAGTTCCTGATGTGTAGCAGAATTGAAGCACCTCACTGTCCTGTACCAGCTACACAGCACTGGGGTCAGTTATAGGTGTTCCCTGCACAGAAAGGGGGAAGGGGGGTGTGTGTGTGCGTCTGTGTCTGTGTCTGTGTGTATCTGTGTGTGTCTGCTTAGGGCTGGGCAAAAGGAAGACCTATAAAAGGAAACAGCAACATCTGCTGTGAAGTAGGAAGGATGAGGCACTGTGGAGACATCTGCAGCAACCAGAAAAACTCCTCTGCAGAAATGAGGAGTGGAGTGCGCAAGATATTGAGGATTATATTGTATAACTGGGGAAAGAGATTTACCCCTCTCTCCCCAGCTGTTCTCCTAGCATTTGCCAGTCTTCAGATGTAAGTAAGCAGGGACTTACTGAAGCAGGGACTGTGTGGCAAAGTAGGAGGCCCTAAGCACAGCTGGCCAGTAGGCAGCGAGTAACAGTAGTAAGAATAGGAAGCTGCACTGTTACTCCATAGATTGGATAAAAGGCATCTTCCCCTTCCTGCAGTGCAGATGTCCTCAATGGCTGATCAACCTTAACTGTAAAAATGTAAACATGAAACAAGGGCATACTGTTCACAGTCAGTGTTACGGATCCAGGTAAGAGTAAGTGAATTAGGACCAACTTTGCTCAGATTTTCTCCTTTCAACACATGGAAATGGTTCATAAAAACTGGCTAATA